TTATCCAGTTTATAGCCTGGCACAGAAAGCTACTGAGATGCCAGTGTCTAACTGAAAGGTAAAGGTGGGAGACATAGCATTTCTACTGGGTTCCTTGAATTTATTCTAATTGTAGTTCTTGCATTAGTCTAATGCACTTCACGCACTCAAATTAATGTTAAAACGCCATCAATAATTGCATTAATCTGTATCTGTTATCGGTCGAAACGTTGGTACTGCCAGTCTGTTTTAATAAGGTTTTAAGTTTGCCTTTCGCACTCTCCTTAAAGAGTAGTGCTGGGTCTGTTTCTTTAATATAGAATAAAAAACGTATATGATTTTAAAATAAAATAGGCACATGGATATCATGATTTGATAAAATTGGAAATCATTCCTGGATTTGGAAAAAAGGGAATGATTTTATTTAAGGAGGTAAAAGGTTGCCAGCAAGCCACACTGCTAATTTATCGTGAAAGTATATATACAGAATATCTGGTGAAACTGAGTGTAATAAGGGGGACATCACAATTCTAGGTTTTTATGTGTGCCCTGCCAAAGTCTGAATCATAAGTTTTGGAAATGATACCAAGAGGATGGATTATACATGGTTAACCACAATGTCAAATGACTGGTTAGTTGTCCCTGTTTCAAAGCTGTGTAAATGTTTGAGACATAAATCCTTTGCCAGATGTCTGTCTGAAAGCAAACCTTTAGACATGTCCAGAGAAGTGTGGAATGGGGTTTTTGCAATGATTCCTGAGGCATATGTATAGTATATGCAAATCTGATGATTTCCAATTTTTATCCTAGAAGTACAGGGTATGGACTGTGATCATCATGGATTTGCTTCTCAGGATATATCTTTTTGTGCTCATGATATCACTGCTTTTACCTTTAGCGGAGAAATCTTTTCCTGCTTTTGTATGATCAATTGCAGCAACAGTTGGTGTAAATGCATATTTGTCTTCATTAAGCCAGGTTGGCTGGCTTCCTCCTGTGATGCCTTGATGTCCCAAAGATGGACTGGCCTATGTAATGAGGTGGTGATAAAATGAATGCTACTGAAACATCTGCTTCATCCCCACAACCGTATTCTAAAAACCAGGGACTCCCCTGAGAGAACAGTGCAGAAAGATCTTACAAGATTGGAAATGTAATGTTACTTTCTAATAATCATGCTCTGACGCCGTGCCCAAGTCAGGAGTATTCTCATAAGGTGTTTAGTTTGTATTATCATTCCTGTTAGGGATGTTGACCCTTTTTTCCATTTAAATATTTTTACTTTGGATACCACTGAATTTGTCAAATGAATTAATGGCATTATGCTGAAAACCTCATTTGATCATCCTTTTTTCATACTTTTAAAATTGATGCAGCATTCTTCACAGGACAAATATCATTAGAAATACTTTGCCGTTATCATGCTGGACGCTTCATGACTGCAAGATGAAAATTGTTCTAGGAAAATCTTCTGGTATCTGTACTAATCTCTTTGTCCTTAGATGTGATGCTGTAATGAGGTTTTATGTGAAGCAAGCAGTTAGGAAGAACACCAAGATCTTTTTGACAATGGCTGTGCCATTTACCTGTTTATATTGATCAGAAGTTAAACTTAATCGCTGTTCAACTGAAGGCCAGGGGCTTTTGGGACTTGTCAGACCCCATCCAAATTAACAAATTGTGCCCAATCAGCCCTGCTATTAAACAGAAATTGCTTCTGCTAGTGAGTTGTGCACAAAGCAGTTGGAGCCGATTCGTTGTTGCTGCTGGGTCAGTAAAAGAGGCAGACTGCAGAAAGCTGTGCCTGTAATCATACAATTATGGATCTCCAGTGGCTGAAAGCATCCATTCAAAGCCTGCCATCAACAGCAAGTCAGGATTAAATGCTGCACAGAGTTCTCATCCTCAAATCAGCATTTGTGCTTTTGATCTTCATTTATGTATTGACTCTACAATGAACAGCATTTGAAATGCACATCTGGTGATTTTCATGTAGTAGTGAAGGTGGAGATTTGAGCATGTATGAGATATCAGGCTTGAGAATTAACAGTCCATGTTTAATCTGTTTTAGTGTGAGTGTGCAACATTTAGTGTAACGCTGTTTGTACTTGACCTTGTTTACTATAAATGCTTGTTTTGATGACATCCAAACAAGATTGAGTCATTTGGACCAAAATCAAAACGGCAACGGCCATGCTTCTTAGTTCAAAGAGATTCCCTTTGAAGTACTGCCAGTACTTTGGCAGAAGATCTTGCAAAACTGCTATCCAGATAGATGGTGATATAATGTCCTTTCTAAAAGCGCTGATCACAAAACACCTAATGCTTTACCTTTTGTTTTTATAACTAAATGGAATTTTCTGTACATTTTGGAAGACTGCTCTGGCTTGTTAAACTTGAGTATTTTTTAGCATGCTGCTGTGGAACTCTCCATTTCCAAAACATAAATCTGTGCACAACAGGAGGCCATTACACATTCTTCAGTAGTACTTGTGGAGAGTGCTGTGCTCAAGTTGATTTTGAAGTCTGTCTGGTTTAGTAGCTAGTAACTCGGTGATGTGAGGATCTATTCCAGCTTCTTCTCGGCTCCCACAGCTCTTAGTGTAAAAAAAAAAACTGCCTCTGTGCCTTTGTTTAAATGCACAAAGCTGTAGTTCCCCTTGTCCTCTGGTTTGTGTATTTTAAGGATTTTGTAATAACATGTTTAGATTATGTAGAATGTATTCTCATTATTTAAC